GACAAAATCGAACAACTGCAGCGGGACAAGCCTCTATCACATGTATTCTTCTCTTCTGTGTTTCTTTATCTCTTATACTTTTTGTATGCCTCTCTCTCTTCTACTCATTTTTTTCTTCTTTTACTCCTTTGTAATAAGAGATATTGACAAGAATTCTCCATTAAAGATGAGTTGACTGAGTTGACTTTTTCTTGTGATTAAGTTTTTTGTTATTTTTCCTTTTGGTAAAGTGAATAAATTGGTAAAGTTAGAAAATAAATGGGTTTGGTGCAGAAATTTTATAGTTAGTCCTTTTTGTCTCTGTAGAAAATTTGAAGAATCAAATGGGACACTTGTCCTTGTTTGATGATTGATGTTGTCTAACTTTTATATAACTATCACTATTTATGCAACACTTATAAAGAGAGGATAATAATAAAGACACAAATAGTGGACTAACACTTTCTTAGAAGTCATGGCAAAGTGGTGGACCCAGTGGTGTTCACCTTTATATTCTTGTTGTATGTTGTATATCATTATTTAACAATCATAATTGCATGCAAATGTCAAAATATTAATTTATTTTATTTCAGAATTAAATGGCAGGGGATTTGTCTACCTTATATTTTTGTTGTATATTATTATTTTAAAATTCTTGTTGTATATCATTATTTAAAAATAATAATTACATGCAAAATGCATTACATATTACTTTTTAATAAGTTTTCAGAATTATAAATGACAGAGGACTGTCCAGCTTTGTGTTCTTGTTATGTATTACTTTTTAAAAATTATAATTGCTTGCAAGATGCATTATATATATTTTTTAAAATTGTTTTTCAGAAATAGAAATGGCAGAGGACTTGTCCAGGGGCGGCTCTAAGGCTTTGGGCAGTAAGGCCATTGCCTTAGGCACCCAAATTTTGAAAGCCTCCAAATTTTGAAGGCCCCCAAATTTATTTTAAATTCTTATTATTATTGTTACTATTATATATTATATAATTTATATAAATAATTAGAATAAGAAAAGTGTTACAGTATATTTTTTGTTACTTGATTGAGGTTATTTTATACAAAAAATTTATGAATTATGATAATTTTCTTCCCTCATTAATTAGTATATTTGACAAGAGTGAGTTGCTCTAGTGGTGAGCATCCTCCATTTCCGACTAAGAGGTTGTGAGTTCGAGTCACCCCAAGAGCAAGGTGGGGAGTTCTTGGAGGGAGGGAGCCGAGGGTCTATCGGAAACATCCTCTCTACTCCATGGTAGAGATAAGGTCCGCGTACAAACTACCCTCCCAAGACCCCACTAGTGGGATTATACTTGGATTAAGGGCCTCCGAATATGATTTCGCATTAGGCCCCGAGATATGTTGAGCCGCCCCTGGACTTGTCCAAAGGCAATCGAAGGGATCCTGGCTAGAAATATAATCATTTGAAGGATCCTAATGACACTACAAGAGTCACATGCATTTTTTTGTGGAAAAACAACCACCGGTGGAATTAATCGGGCAAAACAACATTTGATTGGGAACTTTAGGAATGCAGCAAAGTGTGCAGTATGCCCACAGGAGGTTAGAGAGGAATTGAAAAATTACATGGAGGAGAAAAAAATAAGAAAGGAAGTCTATACTAACGAATTTTCTGGACTTGATGAGTTTGATTATCAAGACGATGTTGGTGGAGAAGATGAAATCCACGAGATCATTCATAAGAAAAGAGGCGGAGGAAGCTTTCCTAGTGGCTCTCATAAGAAATTGGCCAAAGGAAAGGGACCCATGGATGTGTTTCTACAAAGCAAGGAACACTTAGGCAAACAAATATCAAAGATTCATGTGATAAAGAAGCAAGAGCCATGACAATTCAAAAAGTTGCTCGTTTCTCTTACGATAATGGGATTCCATTCAATGTTGCTCGCTCAAAACGTTTTAAGGAAGCAGTTGAGGCTATAGGAAGGTATGGTCCAAACTTGAAGCCTCCAAGCTACCACGAATTAAGAGTTCCATTACTTAGGAAGGAGGTTGAGTTAACCAATGAGATTATAAACAAACATAGAGAAGAATGGTTGAAGTATGGATGTTCCATTATGGTGGATGGATGGTCAGATAGAAAACAAAGAACTTTGATAAATTTTTTGGTGAATTCTCCGCATGGAACAGTGTTTATGGAGTCAATAGATGCTTCCTCATTTGTTAAGACCGGAGAGAAACTATGTGAATTGCTTGATAGATATGTGGAGCGTGTTGGAGAGCATAATGTGGTTCAAGTTATAAGTGATAATGGTAGCAACTTTGTGTTGGCCGGTAAGAATTTATTGCTTTAAATGTTTAAGTTTTATGTTTTACTTTCTAATATCGATTCAAGGTTCTGATTCCTAAACTTTAACATATCTATTTATTTTTTTTCTATAGGTCAACTCTTACAAAAAAAAGAAAAAGACACATATATTGGACGCCATGTGCAGCGCACTGTATAGATCTTATGTTGGAAGACATAGGGAAGATTCCAAACATTAAGAAGGCCCTTCAAAGAGCAATTGCCGTTGTCGGTTTCATTTACGGGCACTCAGGAGTCTTAAATATGATGAGAGATTTCACAAAAAATAAAGAGTTGGTGAAATGTGGGATTACTCGATTTGCAACGAGTTTTCTGACTTTGCAACGATTGCACTGTCAAAAAACTAATTTGCAAGCAATGTTTACCTCTGACAAATGGGTGATTAGTAGATGGTCTAAGTTACCAAAGGGAAAAAGTGTAGCTCATACCGTCTTGATGACAACATTCTGGAACCAGGTTGTGTATATTTTGAAAATAATGGGGCCTCTTGTTAAAGTGTTGCGATTAGCTGATAATGAGAAAAAACCTGCAATGGGGTATATTTATAAAGCCATGGATAGAGCTAAGGAGGCTATTGCAAAGGCATTTGACGGGAATATTGCAAAGTATAAAGATATCTTTAAGATTATTGATGAAAGACAGCAATGCCAATTGCATCATCCATTACATGCAGCTGGACATTATCTAAATCCAGAGTACTTCTATCAAAATTCAGCTATTGAAAATTGTAGAGAAGTAACAGATGGGTTGTACGCTTGTATTGAAAAATTGGTTCCAAGCACTGAAGTACAAGACAATATTATATCTGAGATAAGACTGTACACTAAAGCTGAACAACAATTTGGCCTTCCGATTGCAAAAAGATCTAGAACGACAAGATCTCCTGGTAACTGAAAATATTAACCTTTAAATTCTCAATTATTAGTTTATATTTAAAATTTTACTTAATACTTGCATAGTTACATTAACTTAGAAATAACGATGGTAAACATAACAATTTTTACAGTTGAATGGTGGAATTTATATGGTAATTCAACTCCTCATCTCCAAAAATTAGCCATTAGAATTTCGGGTTTAACGACTAATGCTGCTGGGTGTGAGCGTAATTGGAGCGTATTTGAGCATGTAAGTACTCGTAATGGTAAACTTCTTATTTATTTTCTTTGCTTAGTTAATCAATTAGACTATATCACTAATGTTACGATATTCCATGCAACATATCCATACCAAAAAAAGAAACAGATTGGAGCATCAAAGATTGAATGACCTAGTGTATGTCAAGTATAATCGTGCTTTAAAAGCCCGTTATGACTTGCGTAGTGTTATTGATCCAATCTCATTGTATAACATTGATCATAGTAATGAGTGGCTAGTTGGGAAGATGGGTGTTAATGTGGAAGCAGAAGATGAGTTGGTGTTGTTGATGATAGCTTGACTTGGGGTGATGTTGCAAGAGCGTCGGGTAGTGAGAACGCGTTGACATACACAAGGCGACAAAAGAGACAGTCAGGAGATATCGCAGCCAATGCCTCAAGCTCCCGAGCTCCACGTATTGAGTCTGTTGACATAAAAGATGAGATTGTTTCTGAGGAGTCAGGGGAAGAGGAGATTGGAGGCTATAGTTTTAGTGACACCAATGAGAATCACTCTATTAGGAAGATTATATGGAGGAATATTATTTTAGTGATTAGAAGTGGAATCTAGAATGAGTTTATCTTTTCTTATTAAGACTTAAGTTGATGATTTGATGAAGTTTTACTTCATTATAAGCAATATATTTATTATTTATGTGTCTATTATGTTCTCTAAATATTAGATATATATATTTAAAAAATTCTTCATAGTGATGGAATGCAGCCCTTGAAAAGCCCTTGAAATTCTTCATAAGAGAGAAACAATAGAACCTGGATTGCAGCCCTTGAACTTAACGGAAATCTAGCCGGCGGTGATGGATTGCGACGAGCTAGAGCAATACTCTCTGTATTTCTCGTTCAAATAGGAAGAAGAAACTTTGAATATTTTTGTGCTTTCTGTGGAACTTAGACCAATCAAGAAATCGGCGAGAATTGACCGGAATCTGAATCGGAATCGGCTAAGAAGCTGAAGCGAAGTTGTAATACCCAGCAAGAATGTGAAGCCTCTCCTCTAAAGAATATATCCAGCAATCTTCAGAACGGCGGAAGTAATCAACAAACGAATGTGATGTATTTGAAGCCTCTCTTTTACAGAATATAACAAGTAATCGGCGGGAAGTAATCAACTAATAATTTTGAAGCTTTTCTCTTTACAGAATATCAAGAAATCAACAATCTTTATCTCTGTACCAATGTATCAATGTACTGTATTGGTGAACGTTTTCCTTTAGTCATTCGGTATACATCAAAAGAAACTATTGAGTAGAAATGTAACACGGGATTCTCAAGATATTGCAATTTAGATTAAAGTGCTTTATTGGTTGAAATCATTTGTTCTTAGCAGCAACTATAATTTGCACAGCTGAGATACTATCGAAAAAAATTTGTTCGAAGAGAACATTGGCATTGTTAAGCATATACTCATTCAACAATAAGAATTGTTCACTTTAATGAAACCAAAACAGGTTACATACTTTCAAAAGAAAGATTAAACAAGAATATGACCCTAGAAAGAAAACATGTTGAAGCATTGACAAATAACAACTTACACATATCCCTCTCGTCTCCTCATTAACATATGATTCATCTTGATTCTTATGAGTGGCAGGGTAAAGCTGTCCACACTCAGGCTTTTCTCCAGTCTCCACTGTCTATACATGGAAAGAATGACTCATGAATAAAATAATTAAGTTACAAGAAAGAGTTACATAATGAGTAAGTTTAATTATTAAAGTAAAAATAAAATAATTAACAACTTCCACCATTTCAACCTTTCTTCTAAAGTTAGGTTTGGAGCCACCAGTGTGTGGAATTGTCCGTTTCTTCTGAATTTCAGCGCCTCTAGAAGTATGCAAAACATTCCTTTCACCATGCATAACCCAAGTGACATAATTTTAAGGGAATGGCTTGCAAACCAAATGACAGAACACTATATCTCTAGTTTGCCACTTTGCAAAACCACATTTCGGACATGGACATTTTATTCTATCTCGTACATTCCCATTCTTAAACGCAAAATCTAGAAATTGATTCAAACCAAGCAAATATTTTTGTGTTTCTTGGCATTCCCATCCAGGATTTATCCATTGTAAAGTATTAAAGAACAGTATCTTTTTTCAAGAGCAGAGCTAATAAACCAACATCAAATTAGCGTGCACCAATGAAGACTCTTCAGAGAACTAGAGTATCCAATATTCCAACATCAACTACAAGATTTTGATGAGGAGGGAGAATGCGGTAACCTGTCAATGTTATAAGGATTAGAGACACATCCAACATCAAGGGTTATACACTACACTCACACATGTTGAACAACAGATATAAAGCATTGCTTCACTTGTTTTTTGCCTCAGTAGTCAAATAAACTCTTTCTTTGCAGTATTACATTGCAGAAATCGCACATAATATATTTACACGGAAGAGTAGGTGATTGTAAAGCGAGCAGCTCAACGTGATGTTGTAGTGATTAACAAGCTTGCTAGTTGAGCAGCAAGGAAAACAAAAGAGCACTTTAGCCTTTTTGGTGGAGGATCCCTATCTCGATAGTGTCAAACAGATATTCGTTGTGCAACGATATTATAATTATTATCATGTACTGTAAGCGGGATATAAGCAACAGTTTCATGGTTCAACATGTTGAAATCTGAAAGGTTGTACCCAGTATTATTCATTTCAGTATAAAAATAAAAATAACAAAGCATATCAGAATTTAATTTGTAAAAGAAAAATTAATCAATCATTCAACAATGTGCACCTGGAAACTAGTATAAGAAGTAGAAACTAGAACCTTTTGTTCGGTCTTTTTACTGCATTCCTATTCATGCAAAGCGTGTTCAGTTAGTAATTTGGGTACTGGAGGAATTAGAAAGGTCAAAAACAAAGAAAATGAGTTGATAAAGGAGCCTTGAGAAAGAGAGGGAGGTACTGGAGGAATTAGAAAGGTCAAAAACAAAGAAAAGGAGTTGATAGAGCAGCCTTGAGAAAAAGAGAGGGAGGTAATGAAATTGTAAGGTCTGCACTACTTTTGGTACTTACTAAGCTGCATATACTTTTTTTAATCGCATAACGTTTTGCTTAAACCCAATTTGTTTGTCTCACCATGTATGTTCTTCTTCTCTAAAACCCCACATCTGACTCCAATAGCTCTTCTCTCAGTTTGTTGCACTTACACATGCAATATCAAAGGTTACGATGTACTACCAAAGATTAGTATTACTCTAAGGAGAGGGAAGGAGTGCTTGCATGAATTAAAGATTCACACATGCAACATCAAACACTGAACATCATAAGAGTTGTCTACAGAACATTCAGAAGGATGGAAACAGAAGCAAAACATCATGAAAACTGTCCGAAGAACAATCATAAGTTTCAAATTGATTTTTTAAATGGGAAAAATCGGAGGTTCTGCTACTAACAAGATAACTATGGTGCTGCTTATACTACACTATGAAATCAAAGAATTAAAGGTAGAAAAACTTAAATAGGTAGGTACCAGGCTGGCTTACAATAGAAGTATTGATATAAAGTAGAAGAAAAACATTTGTAGAAATTGAAGAGAAAACTAAACAAAGCAACATGTTTCTATTGCTAGACTCATTCCATTAACACTCCAGAAAAGAAACAGAAAATTGCTCAGAGATTAATGAAACCCGTCAAGTCCATGTTCCTATTTAATAAAATAACGTACCATAGAAAGGGATCAATAGAAGAAAGTCACATGCTGAACTTTACCTTAGCGCAATAATCAACACATGAAATTTCCATTGGAATAAATACTCAATTAACACCGATTATAAGTGGGAATAGATTCACAAAGTTCATAGTGGAGTAACATCGAACAGGTAACATGCAACACATAACAGACAAATTGCAATTCACGAACCACAATTCAAGATTAATAGAAGGGGATCTTCAGTGACATGATGAAACTGTACCTTTAGTAATCGCCGTAAGCTGTGATTTCCACAAAATAAATTGCTTTGTTTCTTTTTTTTGCTTTGTTGCTGCTTTTTTTTGGTCGAATGTAACAGACAAAAAAGGAGGAAAACTGGCGCCTTTTCTTTTTCGGATATTAACTTTCGATTAGTAAAACTTTCTTCAATTTGTTAGATTTAATAATAACCTAACCTCCTCAATAGAACTGTCAATATTTTTCATTTCTTAACACTTTTTATTAAACATGCAAGGTTCCATACAGTATTCAGAATTTCTAAATTATGTAAATTCAATTGGAAACATGCTAATTATGGTAAAATTTCAGCTATAGATAGATTATTAATTACTCTATGTTCTTAACCTTGAAGTACAAACTCGATTGTCACTTTTCCTTCAAAGACAAGTCAAAAATGGGTATTCCTGTTAAAATTTTAACGTCTCTCTAGATACTTTAAATTTAACGTGGCCCATATATTTGATAATTAATTATTTACTTTATCTATCATATATTATTTTATAGTTATGCATATATCAGTTTCTTTGATGGAAATAAATATTTTATTAGGAGTCTTTCGGACAATCAAAATTTACGGAAAAGTCCTTAGAACTAAAGTAATTGCCTAGCTTACCTATATAAACGCATGTTACTCTATCAGGCTAGTATCTCTACGATAGGCACAGGCTAGAAGACTCCTAGGTTTTCTGTCAAAGATTTATAATATAACTCTATAACACTTGAATAATCATGACTGAAGGTACGTTCGTTTTAATATTTCGTTGAGTATGTATTTAGTCGTGTTGTTAGGTGTTGAGATAAGTGGCGGATACACATGGTGAAAAGCGAGTTCAACTGAACCCGCTTCGTCAAAAAATAAGATTGTGTATATGTCTAAATTACGAATAAAGCTGCATAAATTTTGTATAAATATTTTATTTGAACTCACTTGACAATTATTATTTTATGACTAAAGTTATGTACTTCTAAGATTGAACTCGCTTGCACAAAATTTTGGGTTCACCACTGGTCGAGATTGTGTTCGTGACGATGCAAATCTCGTTTTGGACAAATCCGTCGTTTTAGTTTTATATATAATACCCGCCGTCTTTGATTTGTGACACTAGAATTAAATTCGTTAGATGGAATTGGTTCAAAGAATCACTTACTTTTAAATTGCAATACTTGTTTTCTTATGTAAGTAACTCTCTTGTGATTCCTTTAAAGAGTTTGATCTAGCTACTGTCGGGATCCTCGAAGTTGTTTATCAATTGATTGGTTTAAAGATCTTTTTTTCCGTCTAAAGGTGCATTGGACACTTAATTTGATGGGTTTTAATTGTTTCAAGTTTATAAGATAAAGATGAAGAGACACAGTGATGTGCATGTAAATTGAAACTATCTTTGTAAATATCGTGTTTAAATTCTATTTGCTTTACTACTGTTTAAAACTATTCTTACGATATTCAGATTATATTTATAAGAATCAATTCTGTCTTTGGAATTTATAACCATTATGCTTATTTGATTGTTGTGCCCATTTTGATACTAATCTACATTCGTAGAAGTTTGATTATTTAAGGAAATTACTCTTAGATATCATTTTTGAGTTTTCTTTTATATACTTAGGAATAGCCACGGCATTTTGATTAGTTGATATAAAAGAAATTAAGTTATTTAATCACCTAAAGTTTAGTGATTAAATATTATGGTGACATCTATTTAGCCAAGTTATCTTATTACAATGGTAATCCGACCCCACACGAAAGTAACCATTTTGGTGAGATTAATTGGAATAAGATAGTAAACATTTAAGTTTGAAAATTATCTTATGCCCACAAGTATGGATTAATTTTTATATATTTTGGTTTACTAGTCTAATAAAGTAAAGTGCATTCTACGCATGGATTACCTCTGCCCACATGAGGGTCTAGAATTTGCTTAGAATCGGTATTTTACGCGATTCACCTTTGATAGATTGTACTTCATAGCTTATATATATTTATCCTTGTTTGTAGTCTTTACAATTTATCCCTTTTATAAGGTGTTATACCGTAATGACCATTTGACCAGTTAAGTATAGCGCCATTTTTTAAGGCGTTATATTTGAACTCAAACGGGCGGAAAGGTATAACGTCCTCACTTAAGACGCTATAGTATAATGCCCTTACCTAAGGCGCTATACTTACATAAATAATCGTCCCTTCCCCTTCAGCGTTTTTAGGTCGACAAGACAATACACATAACATGGCATTTCACCGCGCTATGTTTCGCGTGATAATGATTCCTTCGGGTATAAAACAGCTTCTTAAACTGAACAAGTCATCTGTATTTCAAAGACCTTTTGAATAAGCATTACAACATCCATTTAAAATATGCCACTAACATTTAACAAGTGGTTCAAAAAGAGGCAAAAAGATGAAGGTAGTTTAATAGATCCCCATAGAACACGTCTTAACACTATCGATCCCTACCTTGAAAAACATATGCTAGGTTGCTACACTGACTTGGTTGATGACAAGTGGTATGGTGTTTTGCGTACCTTGGAAAATAAGCCTATCAATATATACACTGATCTCAAAGTTGCAGGGCACATTATTTAGTGCGAAGCGCATTCTACAAAGTCTGAAGATATGCGAATTAGGGGCGAAAAACTACAATGGGTTCCCTTTTACTCAAAACAATGTGATTACGAAGTACTATGTCGCTGGCATGGGCTTGTTGTGCCACAAGCACTGTCTGCAACCTTCCAAACAAACACACACAAAGATGAACCAGAAGTGATTCGACATTTGATGAAGGAGATTCTAGAGATGGAAAAGGCACTAGTTGTTCATCATGCAATGGATGATCTTAACTCCTGAGAGGAACGGAGGCTCAGTACTAAGATTTATTAGAAAATGATAAAAATACATAGAGACAATGATTATCATGTTTTCCCAACAGTTGTCGAGTGGGAGGGACTACCTAAGTTTCTACCACAGACGTTAGACGTATGAGTCTCATATTGTTGTAGAAATCAAGCAAGTGGTTTTCTTGATGATAACGATGAAATGCGAGAAATGTGTGTCAACTGGGGCCTAGATTACGATGCCCTCGGTCCTGAAGGGTATGTACACGATGTTGACGGAGAAGATGAAGACAGCGACAATGAAATAGTGCCGGACATCGGCGATAATGGCGAATGCCAATTTTTTTTTTTTTAGGTGTATGTTAAATTGTTGTACTGAAGTATTAATGCTAAATATCAATAAGACTTAACATTAATGGAAACATAATTTTATTTCATACATTCTGCAAGATCAACATGTACATACATTTATTACAACAAATTATTGAAATACAATACTACGGGTATCCTTGATAATTGGGCACATTGTATGAACTTCCATCGGGAGCTGAATTACTACCGCTACCCAAACCAGCTGAAGGACATTTATGACGGTCGTGTCTTGTTTGCGAGCATATGCCACATTTACGCGCATAAACGATATCACCAATATCTATTTGATTCCGTATATGCGTTCTTTTTTACACTTGTCGTTGACGCAAATACTCCTTGTTACACACCATTTTAAATGGTTCTAGCAGCCAATAATGCTAAGCACTCACTGTCTACAACTATCCACTATAGGTGTTTAAGTATGCAGCAACACTGTATTCTTTATCAACGTAGCTGGTTACCGTGAAACCTGTATGTTGAAAGCACTTTATGGCATGTGAGCACGGCATGTGGTAGATGGACCATTTCCCACAAGAGCATAACCTTCTAGCTTCATTTACGGTGTGTGTATTATTCCCCCGATTTTGATGGATAGTGGTGCGAACTTCCAAAATATTTCTCTCGTTGCAATATTATAAATATGAATGCCAATGTGCTCGCCTCATGTATTTCTCAAATCTTTTCATTGGTATTGGCATAAATCCAACACCCCTTTCCATCAATGACGATGCACCTCTATCCTTTTCAACAAACCTCTCCGACATCAGCTTGAATGACATACGCACCATGGTAGTGACATGCAATCCACGTGCAGACTTCAATAACCCGTTGAAAGACTCTGACACATTTGTAGTTAGAAATCCCCATCTTCTGCCACCATCCGCATGCAAAGTCTACTTGTCAAGCTCATGTCGCATCAACCAACGATAGGTTCTTTGGTCTTCCTGCCTGATCGATTCCATGCGCCTCCTGAATTTACACTCTTGGTGATCTATCGCAGTCATCCACATTAAATCATGCAAATCCTTGTTGGGATGTGCCTACTGTAAATTGGCCTTCAGGTGACTCACACAGTAACGGTGGTAGACATACGGTTCCTGCCATGCATGCAAATTCTATATAGAACTTAAAATACCGCTATGCCGATAAGATATTAGACAAATACCTTAACGTTGTCTGACAACGTGCTCCTTCAAGTGGTTCAAAAATAGTATCCACGTCTCTTGGCTTTCATTGGCACAAATAGCAAAAGCTGGGGAAATATATTTCCATTAGCATCTACTGCAGCGACGATCAACAACTTAATATCATACTTTCCATAGACATGAGTGTCGTCTATGGATATTACCGGGCGGCAATGCACAAAACCTTCAATTGCTGGTTTAAATGCCCAGAACACATATCTGAATATATGTTCTGGTATTCCCGGACTCCGCTCAAGTTTCCATTCAACAACAGTCCCGGGGTTAAGGTGTTGCAATGCGGTCATGTACCTGGGTGGAGATGCAAAGGACTTATCCCAGCTACCATAAATAATTTCAAACGCACGTTTGCGCCCGAAAAATGCCTTTCTTTTGGTAATGGAACACCCATATTCCTGGTGGACAGATGTTATACACTATTTGATCGTGTACCTTATGGACGCTTCAATGTGTGGAATCAAGACAAGATAAATCAAGTCAACATTCAAGTTAATATGATTCTCACTAAATGTGTACATTTCACAATTGTGGGTGCCAATGTATTTACCCACAACCCACATATTTGTTTTCTTCTTCCTCTCATGCAGTATCCAATTACAACCCGTAAACCATCTACGGCAAATAACCTTGTATACATTCGAAGATGAATCTGCTATTGTGATCTCACGACACTCTTTTATGATGTACATTCGCACCGCCCTGCTTAGGCGCGCTTTATCAGGAAAAAGCATGCCCTTTGACAGCATCGTTGCTCTAGATTCATCCCACATTGTTGTCTGAATTTCGTCAATATCCCTTGTGAGGGCATTCACATCCTGTGTACTAAAAAGAGAATACCGTTGGTGGACAAATGTTATACACTATTTGATCTTGTACTTTATGGACGCTTCAATGTGTGGAATCAAGACAAGATAAATCAAGTCAACATTCAAG